CAACCCCCTTCCCTCCACACCATTCAGTCAAGCAAAGGCCAGTTTTTCCTTTTACAAATCCATGCCCTTAACCTGCCTGCCTGGTTTGGTTTGGTGTGGGTGTATGCAAGAACATGTCATGAGAGGTATTGCTCGAGAGGTTTTACATGTTATACTTTCGCATGAAGGCGCGGTTGTAGCTGACAAACGAATGAAATGAACACATGTATATGTGACACATGCTATGCCTTTAGTGCAAGTGCTTGCCACACACACCAGGAGTGCACGTGCCCAAACATGATTGCGTTGTGCATATTCAGGAATATATATATATATATAGCTGAGACTAAAAATGCAGCGACTAAGTTCCCAACATACAAGTAGACAGCTTCCAAGGGCAGCGAGATGTTGCGGCAGTAGGTCTCGCTTCCAAAGGACAAGACATGGATCTTTTTCTTGCCGGTCTTGTGTAGCAACCCCACTCGGTTTGTCTTCCAGTACATGCTGCATTGCCAAAAGTCATACTTCACCAAATTGTCCTTGCTCACTTTCTTGTCAACGGCCTTGAACAGCAGGTTGGCAAAGTGCTTCGCTGCATCATCCCGCATGGACTCGGCCAAATGCTCCGTGGCAAACTTTTGCATAGCAGCCGAAGGAGCTCGCCGGGTTTCTTCATCACACTTCATCTCCTGTGGCACAGCTGCAGCTTTTGCTGCAGGTGCTGCAGTTCTCCTCTTCCGACCTTTGGAACCCTCCACAGCTTCCTTGGGGCTGTGTGGCTCGGCCTCCGGCTCAATGGCTACTGCATCACTGTCCTGCTTGGACGTCCGCTTGGCCCGTTTCTTGGGCTGCTTGACAGGAGGTGAAGGCATGGCAGGTTTTGAAGCCTCCGAATCAGGAGCAGCAGGAGCTGAAGGCTCTGGCTCTGATGCCTTCGCCTTTGCTTTTGGCTGCCGCTTTGGTTTCTTCAACTGCTCTTTCTCAGCTGGCAATGACTTCTCAGCTTCTTGTCCCAAGCCCTTTGCAGGTCCAAGTGGGGAATCACAATCATCATACCTCAAGCGGCGA